GATCAATGTTTAAACCAACCCAAAGCAGATACATATGTCATGTTGTTTCAGAATTTGGAGAACCTGTAACTTTATCAGCACTCTTCGATTTTAGTTTTTGTAATTCATTTTTAATACTTTCTTCTGCGACTGCTGTTATTTTTTTTTAAGCACCCCGTTTTTTTATAAGCATTTGAAAAACAGACAGTTACGTAATTCTTATCTAATTAAAGGTCAGACCTATAGCCTTTTAATTATTTAAGCATCGATTCTCTTTATAGCCAGACGTTGATCATTTCTACTGGAAATCCCTGTTGGAGGAGCTTACTCTTTGACTTTAAATAGCAAAGAAGGGACAGTTTTACCACAGAAGTTTTTAGCCAAGGATCCAAAGTATATCCCTATGAAAAAAATATTATCCAAAAAGCAAACAAAACTACTCTTCTTAAAATTTCTGCTAAAAATAAATTGCCCAAAGAGCCCCATTTGAAATTATTCAAACGAATATATCGTCGCTGGAATAATGAAATAGTGTAACATGAAAAGTATAGTTTTGAGAAAAACGAATTGGAAGTTTTTATAAACCATTACAAACCCTACAAACACAATTTCGTTTTTCGCGAATAAATCAGTGAGCCAAAGATTTAAGAAAACTAAAGTTTTTTCTAATAGATTAAAGGATTGTCTATCCAATGGTGCAATTATCGAATAATAGTGTATGTGGCATTTACACTGTTTCTTTATTCGAGCGACGATATGTAATAGGTGGCACACGCGGTACGTCTGACTCGCGAGTGTGTACGTGTTGATCGCCTTCGACTACACACAGTTGAATCATTCAGAGTCATGCCGGGAGTCATGTCGGTGTAACTAAGGGTGTGATTATGCATACTTCGCATAACTTCGCACAACCATTTGTACCAGTGCACTAAAAGTGTAACTTAAGAAAATGTGGAGCAAAATCTAAACTCAACAGATCGCTAAGTTTTTAAAAGTTCTGCTAATTTCTGGGTATTGGAATACATACAAAATACATACAAAGTACATACAAAATTACAGTTTGAAGTTTATGGGAAGTTGTGCGAAGTTATGCGAAGTATGCATAATCAGACCATAACACATATTTATTTTCACAAACACATCTAAACCGACTCACGAGTCAGGCGCACTGTGTATGCCGCTTAGAACATCAAAAGAAAATCATGAAATTTTTTTTTAAGAATTACAGTGCACACTTTCTTCTTTTGTGTCTAGTAGTTTTTTTTTAAGACTTCTCCAAAAAAATCATAATAAAGAAAGAAGCCAAATCAGGTATTTAAAGCACAGGAAAAAAAATATTATTAAAGGGACTATGTTCTCTTTGACGTACGTCAAAGGTCAAGTAGAAGTGGGAACTTCTATGGCTGCCCATTGATAGCTCGGTTATAAAGCTTAAGAAATAATAGTTTAAAGACACTTTTATCAAAGTTGATAGATATGACATTTGACCAGTTTTGTTACACAACTACTCCTACGACCACAGGCAAAAATATTGGCTACAATACAAGAATGATGAATATATAGTATAATGATAGTATTCTCTAAATCGNATAATGATAGTATTCTCTCAATCGTGGCTACAATATGTAATTTTTTTTTGCCATATATACGTTTTATCGGTCCAATTGCAAAATATTCGCACTCGCAAAAGCTCCGTATTGATTATTGCGAATGCGAATGTTAAAATTAATGCGGAAGCTCCGCGGTTGCGAATGCGAATGCGAATATTCGCAACAACCCTGATTCAGATATGCAGTACAGTATAGATAAGCACTCCACCAGTGCGAGCAATCTTTCGCCTAAACAAAACCAACAATACAGCTGCACCAGTTATCATAAAGTTAGGCTGTGCTGGTGATCGCTCTTCGCTTTGCAGGGCAATTGCTCGTTTCTATAAAAGTGAGAGAAGGCCGCTTGCTCTTCGGGACATTGGCTTTGATGCAGACGGAAAAGTGTTTATGCATGAATGCTTGACTCAGCATACTCGCGATTTAATGAGGTTCGCAATTGATCTTAAAAAACAGAACCGTATCTTAGGTGTTTTTACTATTCCAGGGCATGTATATGTAAGACCTCGACCTCAAAGCGAAGCAACCAGAGTGGATTCAATGGAAGATGTTAGCAGAATTGCAGTGCACAATAACAGTAACAACAACATAAAATGATATTTAGTTTAGCTCTTAAGTTCAATTGTATTAGTGTAAGCTCATTTGCTTCCCATTCTTTCTCTAATTCTCCATTCGCTTCTATAACCTGCTTGTTTGCATTTGACCAAATAACAATAAAAGAATTAAATAAATAAACAAAATTTGGTATGAAGACATTCCATGGTAGGCGCTTATAGTAAGGTATATATGAATAAGTTTGTAAAAAGGGCGTGGCACATCCCTCATGCGGGAAATTTTTATTCAGAAATAACTTCAGAACCGTAGGTCACATGACTTCGATCTGCTGTGAAGACAGATCTATGATAGATGCTTAAAGTAAAGTATCCATATATATAAATAAGTTTGTAAAAGGGGGCGTGGAACATCCCACAACCGTCAAATTTTAATCAGCTATAACTTAGGAACGATAAGTCACATGAATTCGAAATAAGGTGTGCAGACATAACTAAAGTATGCGCCCTGCAGAAAATCTGACTAGCCTAGAACTAGCGTAGAACTAGACCTTTTGCCGACAGTACCAGTTCTAGCTCAATACCCAAGCAATGCTTTCAACTGTCCAGTTTTACACGGCGATGTCAATTGGCGCCCAGTGCATTACTTGGCAACCAGTTTTTAACCGGTTCCATTTTGGACAGTTTTTTTTTATATTCGATTTTCGGACATTTTTTTCGCTTTTTCGTTTCTTTTACAGATTCCGTTTTTGTTACATATTTTATTTAAAAAAAATATATATATATTGTAAGCTGCACGCAACAATTTAAATTCATTAAATTTGAAAACTCACAACTGCCTCCACCGCGATTTGAACTCGCGAGCAAGTCGGAGGTTTTCTCGCTGAGCTACTTTCGTATTGTACGAGTAGTGAGCATTTTCACATTTACACCGCAAGTTTCAACTGTCTCGCTCTGCATTCCTTTTGCACTAGTTCTGAGATATGTAGTTCGGAACTAGCGCTTTGTCAGACTGTCTCTAAATTTTACTGCAGGGCGCTTATAGTGAGGTAATATATGTATATAAATACATACATTAATGAGTTTGTACAAGGGGGCGCGGCACATTTCATAGCCGTGAAATTTTATGTTTGCTATATCTTCGGACCACATGGCTTTGAAATTTGGTGGGAAGATCTATGGTAAATGTATACAAAGGAGTTTATACAAGAGGGCGTGGCGCTTATAGTAAACTGAAAGAGAGTGGATGTTTACCAGGGGCGTGGCATCTAAAATAGATGTAGTACATTGGGAGAACCATTACCTTTGACCCATTACGGACAGACAGCTAAATGGATTGTGCTGTTGTAAACGAAAAAGTGATGATCCACCTAACCTTAATAATGAAACAAGATTAGTAGTAAAGAAAATGATGACCAATATATTTGCAGCAAGAATTACTACTCGGTACGGCAAAGATGCGTTTCTTTCAGAAGTCCCATTTATTTCCATAGACCTTCCATTTAAATTTTAATGTCTTCGCCGACCTTTCATTCCAGTTTGTGGTGTACACTCGGAGGCTTTGTCACTGCCTTCCGAGGGGCGACCGCTATTAGAGAAAAACTTCAGTCCCTCGGCTTTTTGGATTACCTATCTTTAACGAAATTTTCATGAAATACCGTTCATTATGACCTTTGATACCTCGAAACATTTTAAGCGACACATGGATGGAAACTTCTGGCATGTAGCTCAGAACCACAAAAGGAAAGTTCATGCAAAAATACAGATTAGAGAGATTTTTTTTGGTGAGTTTCAACAGATACAAAATAAAAAAGTGCAGAGTCCATCAGGGTGTGATACTTCTTGTTAAGTGTTTGGTTTAGAACAGTGTTTTTCAATCTTCTGAATACGCGACCCCTCTACAAGTTAACAAATTCTAGCGATCCCCTAGGGTCATAAACAAACAAATTACTACTTTTTCAATATTATTTCTTTGGGGATCTACATATCGCACACCGTCTTTAAAAGAGTCACAACTCAAAATTTGCCATTTTTAGGATTATGGGCTAAAAATGTACGCAGAGCTTTTATTTACCTTTCAGCAAAAGCTGGAGCAAATTTTTGTTATAATTTGTTAAAAAAAACCTAAGGTAAAGTCGCCATTGCTCATATGATTCATCATATGCTCATATGATGATCATGTGCTAAGAAATAATTTTTCACATTTTCTGACAAACGTATTATTTTGAGTTCTGACTCTTTTGAGGACGGTGTACGATATTTATCTGTGCTTATAAGCAATAACCGCCTGAGTAGACTTAAGAAATAAATGAGATATATATATGCTATCGTATTCTGCAACCACTATTCCATACGTGTTGAAATCCCCATCTCGCCAGCTAGGTTATTTTAAAATATATCGACGAAAATATTTTGGTTTCCCCATAAGGATTACATTACAATCCAAATGTTTATAACGTGTTTTCTCCAATACAGGTTTTTGGACTTAGGTGGTTTTTGCTTATGACCAAATATATGTATATTGATTAAAATGGCGCGGGCAGCTTCGTAAACGAAACCGCAAACGTACGTACCGACATATCGCACACCGTCTTCAAAAGAGTCACAACTCAAAATTTTACATTTTTGAGATTATGCGCTAAAAATGTACACAGAGCTTTTATTTACCTTTCAGCAAAAGCTGGAGCAAATTTTTGTTATAATTTGCTAAAAAAAACCTAAGGTAAAGTCGCACTTGTCTCTATGACTATCATGTGCTAAGAAATAGTTTTTCGCATTTTCTGACAAACGTACTTATTATTTTGAGTTGTGACTCTTTTGAAGACGGTGTGCGATATGTAAATCTTATTTGGTTTCTTTTACTCTTTTCTAATGAGGCTGAAATATATACGCAGCACGAGAAATACTGAGAAGCAAACGATCGTTTGTATGTAAAATCACACTAACAAAAGGAAAGGTATTGACAAGAGTTCTAGGACTGAAATATGAATTGTTAATGTTTGGCTCTTGAAATTAGCATTTCTTGCTGATCTTTTCATCCACCTAAATAATTTAAACAAGAACCTCCAAGGAAAAGAAGAAAATATTTTAACAGCAAAGGATAAAATCAAAGCATGCCACGCAAAACTTCATTTGTGGTAAACTTCTCTGCAAAAATATATAGTTTAGTATTTCAGGTTATAGTTTAGTATTCAGATGATTGTTGAAGATAGTGGCACAGACCAATCGCTTGCAGTAAGTTCTCACATTCCTTACATGATACAGAGCTTGCATAATTTGGAAGAGAAACTTTTTATTTACTTGCCAGACCTAGACTCCGAAGCTGACAACTCTTTCTTGGATTGGTCAATAGAGCTAATCTAAACTTGAAGATGAAGGAAAATCTTATAGATTTAGCTGCTGACAGAATGTGAAAAACGGTCCTAAAAACACTTGTTTTTTCTAATGGCCGCGACCCCAGAGGGGGTACAGTCCGACTTATCTATAATGAATAAGCATGGCACCAGAATCGCTTAATCTCTGGAAATACATCCGCCTGGTTTTACCGAACTCTTGTCGCTGTTCTCAGTTTTTGTTATTGACGGAACTTCTCCTCTATCTATGCTCATTTTCTACATCACGCGAACTCCGATAGCATTTTAAATATAAAAAACGCTATACGCAGAATCACCTACCTTTAAATTGTCAAAATAATGCATAATTTGTTCGTAATCCATTTCAAAGCCGTCAAGGACCAGATCGTTATGACTATCTACGTGGTCATCGGTTGTGCTAGAAAACATAGGATTTCCAACAACTGTAGCTCTCTTAATTTCCTTCCTCAGACCGGACCCCAATTCTAGATTCTGCCGTAATAATTTTGTGGCGCCTCTCTGACCCGCAGCTACTGCTACTCGTGCTTTGTTTTCATGTGTCTCACAAGTTAAGGAATCATCTAGAATGTCGAGGTGAAAATCCTTTCATTAAAATATTAGATCTTAAATATTGTAGATTTTACCTGTAACATTGATAGTGTTGTGTTTTTGTGGAAGAGAGTCAAATTGGAAAGCAGTTTTTTTACTATAGTTAGCAAATTGTACTAATTTTTCAGCATTATGCATTTTTTCGCATTCAGCGTTTTGCGAAGGCTTCTTTTTCATATTAAATGTTTTTTGTCTGTGACAATCATGGTCCGCTGCTTTTATTTGTGCAAAATCTTGATGACATTGGTCTAGATGGTTGTCCCTCTCTTTCAAATCAGCTTCGACTAAACTCTCTGTTGGATTCTCTTTGTTTTCCTAAGAAAGACGAATATTTAATTTTTATTAATACTTATATTGTGAAAATAACTCAAGTTCCATTCGTAAATGTTAGACAATTTACGAAAAAAACTAAGACATCTACTATGTGAAGAAAAAATTTACATATCGTCGATGTTTTTGCAAAACCGCCTATCTTACGATCTACGATTTACAGAAGAGCGAAAAAACGTTTTTTCTTTGAAGGCATAGCCTTGATAGGCAGTATTTTCTATAGCTATTATTTTACAAATCTGTTATTTTAATAACGATTTTACGATTTTTATACATAAATCCCGATGCTTGGAGTTCAGTGTTACCAAATCTCATTTTTGCCAAAACAGTGATTTAGGCGGTATTGGAACTGGTCGATGGGCGGTTTTCCAAAAACATCGACGAATGTTTTGTTTTCGTGCAAACTCATGACGGATTTATACAAGGCAAGTAATAAGAACAGCACGGAAAAATTGACACTGCCATATTACATTGTATGTGCTTCTTAAACTTTTTAAAGCGGATAAAGCGCAGAAATATAATGAATTTTTACACCTTTTGATTGCACAGGCCGCCAAAATTTTTGGCCAGAAACCAGAGTAAACCTTTCCAAAGGTTTTTGATGCGCTGAAATCGTGGCCCATATATTTCAATTGGTTTTAATTTATAAGATAGCCTAACTTCAAATTGCAATAAATTCAATTTAGTTCTATTTTTGAGGTAATGTAGCATCAAAATTTTTCTTTCAGTCAAAAAACTATGAGTGTTTTCTTAAAGCCGTTGAGTTTGCTAAAATAGCTAAGTATAAATGTACCATCAGAATTTTGGTTTTCTAAAATCCAAGATGGCGGCGTATACCGCTCTCAGCCCAACCCACAGTCACGATACGAGGACGTGGCGGTGTAGACTCCACTTTCTGCTTTTTTTTTTGTTTTTATTTTTTTAGCTACTCCAAAAACCCGTGAGTAAGGAATTTCAAGTCAAAATACTGAATAGAAAAATGTATGCTTCATAGGGGTTAAGGTATGGATAAAATCACAAGCATGCACAGTTCAAAATGCGATATATCTGTGAATAAAAAATATTTTAGCAAACTCAACGGCATTTGGAAGGGTAATATTCAAACTTTAAGATAATATTCATAGTTTTTTGACTGAAAGAAAAAATGTGATGCTACATTACCTCAATAATATAACAAAATTGCATTTTTTACAATTTTTGGTAAGGAAATCACGGAAACTGGAGCCAATTGAAATATTTGGACCTCGGATTCGGATTCAGTGCATCAAAAACCTTCGGAAAAGTATATTCTGCCTTCTGGGTAAGAGGTTCGGCTCGTTTTGGTCGGCCTGTGTTATTAATGGGACAGTAATTTGAAAAACTTTAACATATCGCACACCTAGATCTAAAGTGAGCTAAATCAAAAATTCAATTCAAAATTCAAAAAAAAAAAATATTCAAAAATATCTCTGAGTTGAGGCACTTGAACCGAGGCGAGGGCCTAGTCCAATCGCTAATCAGACCTTCTCAATGGATGGCGGTGGAACTGTGTAAGTACATGTAATCACAAATTGCACCTTATTTCCTTGATACAGGCTGCTTTTTGAACGTAGATTTGCTGGGTTAGAGGATCCCGACAGGCATTCGGTGCGTATTGGGATGCAGGGGGATGACGGGAAGAATAACCTCTAAAAGGCCCACCCCTTCGAAGTGAGGATAAAATGCAACACTACCTTTTCCACATGCAGAACTTCCTCCCAAGGTCTCGGTAAAAGCAAACTACTGGTGGATGGCGGCACATTGAATTTGTCAATGGAGCACTCCTAAATGAGCTGCGGGGCGAACTACTATCGAAACATTCTGAAGCAACCAAGGTTGCGACAGATGTGGATATGCTTAGTGGTCCTTTTACTCCTTTACACTGATAACAGAGATGAAACCAACAACGATTAAACTTGGTGCAAACCAGGAGAGTACTGTCACGGAGAAATCCTGTATTGGTGATCCTCAAACAGGCGAAAAGCTCGCCGCAAGGTAGCTGAAGAGAAGGAGGCAAAAGAAGAAGAAAGTTGCGGATATGGCCAAGGCTCAAGTACTCAAAATCCTTGGGTCTCTAACTCTACACCCGAAATTACAACTCATCTGTTCTGGAACTCTCTTCCCTTGCCAACAAGGGGTCTGTGCGAGCAGAAGGCAAGAGTCGCAAGGCAAAGAAGATGAAAGTCTCGATGCCAACCTCTCATGCAAATGGCTTTGTTGAAGAACACCGAGCGTTGGGTGAAACTCAACTATGCCGCCCTGAATCATTCGAAAGAGAGATGCAACCAAAATGCAAATCGTAGCTTAGCTCTGCGATCCCCACGGGGCACTCCAGAGTGTAAAAGCTCCTCTTCCTAAAAGGGGTCAAACAGCTTAAATAATAAAAATAAAGCTGTCAAAAAGGCTCATAAGTGCAATAAGTTAATTACTTAAACACTGCTAAGTCCTGTGACCCCGATGAACCTCAGGCTTAGACTATAAATTACTACGTCCTCTCCTGTCAGCCCTTATTGGCTGATACAGGAATAACCATAGTGTAAAATGTCCTGTGACCCCGAAGACCCTCAGGTACATACCTAAATCAAATATTATAACAAAGAATGAAAGGGAGTGAAATCTTCGACATATGTAAATTTTAACGATATAAAAAGAATGAGAAACTGAAAACCTTTGACGCCTCCACAGTCACAGAACTGGATATCCTTGCGCGTCCCTATACTCCTAGACCGGAACCCACCACCACAAAGCCAATTGGTTAACATATTTTGTGATCTTGCAATAGCCACCAGTATTAGTCTAGGTACGCCCGTTTTGGGTGCACGTTGTCGTTCACATAAGAACACGGCAGCCACTCCTTGATTTTGATGGCACTTCCAGCGTACACATCAGAACACACTGGAGATTGAGTCTAATAGCGCAATTCTAGACCAAAATGTGGGTAGGATTGATGGACAGTTAGGTAGCATAGAACAGGCTAGCATGAGAACGCAGCCGCAAGGGGTGCCGGCAGCGGCGCGAACACCACTATCGGAGCAGGACTTGAGGGACATTGGCAGACTCCCCGATTGTGTGAAGGAGTTGCAAGTTTTCGAGGGCAGTCCTCCTCAATACATCTCGTGGGTTCACAACGTAGAGGGTATTTTGACTGACTACGACGTGGTCAAAGAAAAGCCTTTTTATCGCGCAAGCCTTGGTACAAGAGATAAAAAGAGTCCTTTCGCTTAACTATGCCGACAAGAGGGATATACGTACCCTCGAACATCAACTTAATCAGTTAGCTCAAGGGAATTCGAAATTGGATGAATTCTGCGCGACTGTTAACCACCAACTGTCGCTCATTGTAAACAAAATTAAGTGTGACGATTATTCTCAAGAGACAGTATCAGTCCTTGTGGAAACATATCGAAAAAGAGCTCTAGATGTATTCATCCTAGTTTGAGTCCTGAGTTGCTTCGCATGCTCATCGTACAAAAACCAAAAACATTGCCAGAAGCTTACTCAACTTGCCTGGACATTCAGAATTTAACGTTGCGGAATACGATAGTTCACACAGGCTCAATGAATAGAGTCGTTGTCCCAACGAATATCTTATCAACACAGAGGCCACCACTACCGCCACGTGCACGCTCGAGTTATAACTGGGTGAACAGAAATCACACTTCGGAATATAAGACGACCCCTTACAACAGGCTCCAGGCCAACCAAGGAACGAGTTCATTACCTCCAGCCGTACCAACTGCCCCTAAACACGTCGAGAAAATGGAAGTCGACGGTAGTGCCCAAACGAGGCAGGTCAACTATATGAACCGACCCTCAGGCACAAAAACTTTTAAGACGGGGCCTACATCGGCAAAGGGTGCCTTCCCAAAACAACAAAAATTTTATAATATAGAAACCAGTAGTCCTGAAGAAGGAAATGACTTTTCGAATTATTGTGAACGTACAGAGGACGATTCACAGCAGGTAAATTTTTTGACGACCAGGCCACCAGCTTATTTCATATGAGGAGTAGTGCCTCATATTCAAGCATACCTTACCTAACGTACCTGACCAACAGTAGTACTGCCTTAAACTTTCTTATAGATATGGGAGCAAATAAAAATTTCATAAAGCCTACTCTAGCTGCTCGTTCAATACCAGTCGATCCACCTTTCTCGGTGCAGACGGTGGCAGGACCAATAGTAATAAACAGGAAAATTTGCGAAAAATGTTTCCATAAAGTAGGGAACGACACCAAGACAACTTTTTACACATTACCAAGACTTCAATCTCTTGACGGCATTATAGGAGATGATACTCTAAAGGCACTCGGTGCGGTGATAGATAGGAAAAATCATGTTCTCACAATCGAGCCGAACATTAAAATTCCACTGAGAAACAAAACAGTTGGAAGCATTAATTTTTCTAAAACTATTTCATATCACACGTCAACAAAACCGATACCGATTCGAAAATTGTCGCTAACTGGTTAAAAAAACTTAGAAATAGTATTTGAAAGGCTCGCAGACGCTAATTTGAGAGTGAATTTGGAAAAAGCTAAATTTATGAGAACGGAAGTAGAATTTCTGGGTTATGTGATCACGTCTGATGGGATGAAACCGGATCCTTCGAAGGTCCAGGCTATAGAGAACCTTTGGGCCCAGAAACATTAAAAGAACTGAATAGTTTTTTGGGAATGACGTCGTACTACCGAAAGTTCATTCGAGATTACGCGAAAGTTGCAAAACCGTTAACCAATCTCACGCGGGGGGAAAACGCGCAAGTTAAGGCCAACCAATCGAGAAGAATACGCGTTAATCTGAACCGTGAAGCCCGTCAAGCTTTCGATAATTTAAAAAACTACTAGTTTCATAAGATATTCTTGCTTTCCCAGATTTCGAAAAACCATTTAACCTTACTACCGACCATGGGCGTCGCCAGGATCGAATTTAGGGGTGGCGGGTGGGCCTGACATATAAAAAAATCCC